TATATATATATATATATATATATAACTCAATTCCTATGTATATACATATCAAAAACCTCAATTTAATATTTTATGTATTGTTGAATTATTTTAGGACAGGGGGTATACATTCTCACGGTGTAAACGGGTCGAACATGATGAGCAGGCTCATAACTTTTTGTCATGCAAATAACTCTATTTTTACTCGGCTGGGTTTTAAAATCAAATTTGTTTGTATTAGCCGGTTCATGTCTATTTTGAGCTACACAAACTTGCATATTGTATTTATTTTAGTCATTTAGCTAACAATATAATTTATATTTTTAAATATTTTCTAAAAAATAGGAAATTGACATTGTGTAAATTATAGAAATAGGGTTTTCATTATCATTTTTGCATTTAAATAGGATTTCTAATTGAGAATATTTTAAACATAAGTGTTGTGGGACTATGTAAAAGAAAAGGGGACGATAGGGTGGAATTCTTCTAGCTATGAGGTCATTTACATACATATCATCAATACTAAGTGGTCTGCATGATTTTTTTGGGAAAAATCTTATGGTAGTTGCATGTATAACACCAAACTCTTTTGTATTTATAATCTTAAATCAGAGAAATGACAGTCTTGCTCTACTTTGCCACAAATAACTTTTAAAAATTTAATATAAAAATGAAGTAAATAAATATTATTATTCAATTATTTACTTATTTCAAGTTAAAAGGAGCCAAACAAAAACAAACAAACCTTTGTTCATCATTTGGCTCGTATATAAATCGAATTCGAGAGAATTGTTTGTGTTTGGCTCGTTTCCTTAATGAATGAAATGAACACGAGTTGCTTAACGAGTCAAACAAGTCATGTTCGAGAACAACTAGCTTTTTTGACAGCCTAGTAGGTTGGCTGGGGCGGAACCAACATCTTTTTTTGAGAGTGTAAATTTTTTTTCACGCCTTCAATATTATTCGCAAGGAAATGAAATAGTCACAAAAATTTTCCTCTTTTAATTGATTCAGGTGATTCGTTATGGGCGCAAAGTCATAATCCTTGTCAAATGACCCAATTCCTATGTATTTACATATCCAACACATTTACACCACTAAAATTCTTCATATCACATGAAAAATGCCACTTTTAATTTTTAAAAAGTGAAATAACATCATTCCATGCATATATAAGGTGGTATGTATGTATAAATTGATGTTTAGGTTTAGATATGTAAATATGTTATAATTGAGTGGTAGGTAAGTAAGTCTTCCTTTTTTTTAGATTACCATTTCTCAATTTTTTCATGCATCATAAACACATGAATAATAAAAAGGTAAGTAAATCTTCCTTTTTTTTCATGCATCATAAACACATGAATAATAAAAACAGTAAGTGTAAATTTACTAGAAGATGCAGTGATGAAGCAATCATTCATTTTCTCAGTACAAGATATTAAATTTAAGTGTAAATTTACTAGAAGAGCAGTGATGAAGCAGTCATTCATTTTCTGAAGTACAAGATATTAAATTATTAATCCAATCAAATGAGAGTTCATTTGATGGTGTAAGTAATTCACAATTACAATCCAATAATTATGAGGAATGTTAAGAAAAGGTGATGGATGTCTCACTAAGACTCTGTTTCTCACTTTGTATTTCTCTGGACTCCTGGGCGACCGAGAATGGTTCAAAGAAAGGATCTTTGCTTGCCCATCCCAAGAGAGATAGAGGGAAAGTAAAATCCCATTCATGGTACTTCAAGGAGGATATCTCGAGTGCCACTCTGACTTCTTTTTATACATATGAAGAAAGATATATAAAAATATATTTCATATGATATTCTTCATGTCCGGGGTGTCTTAGTGAAAAGATTGCAATGTAGGTGTCAGGCGACAACATATATAAGGATTGACACATGTACTTGCATGCAATGATGTTCTTTCCCTCCTATGATCCATTTCGATTTAGCTTGACTACTTTAGCAAATGGGTTCGATACAACCTCTTCGACAGGGAGGCTCAATTCGATCACTTCGACAGATGGGCTCAATTCAACCATTTTGAAAAATGGGCCTCTGAAGCCCATAAAACTTGTTGGCCTCTATGTTGTATCTCTAAAAATGCTTTGTTAGGCTATATGATCATATTTTGGTACATATTTAGTTCTCTGGTTCTCTTTTCTCTTCAACTAGGGAGTGCGAGAAGAACGTGATAATGAAGAATCTTTGTTCTGTATGATTATGACAATCTTCACTTTTTGTCTTTATCTGCAATACTATTTGGAAAAAGCTTTTGAGGCGTGAAAGTAGTATAATTCATAATACAATTTTCCTTAACTAGGGAGCACTTTGGCTATATGTATGAGGAATTAAACCATCTTACGGTTCATCCTTAAGCCAAGATTGACATTTGCCTTGGGGAAATTTGTGCTACACTCGCAGGGAGTAGTCACTTAAGCTTACAAGTGGGTGCAATCAGTTTTTCTCCTTGAGGGTCTCAACTCTCCTGCAGGAATGAGTTTGTTATGAATCCTTCATTTTCCCTGTGAGACCTGATGGTTTTACACCCTTTTGTAAGAAAGGTTCACAACACGAGACAATTATGACTGAACTTCTTTCAGGGAAAATGAATGCGAGTTTGGAAAAGGATTAAGATGATGTAAGTAAGAATTAGGAATTCTCTGGTATTTATATCAAAGAATTAATGACGTATCTTGTTTTTCTTGATCTTGGATAAGTGTGTCCTAAACATTTGGTGTAACACCATTTATGTTGCCCAGATAAAGGAGAGCTGATATTAGAAAATAACATTAACTATGCTGGTTAACAAAATTTAAAGGTGTACGCACTTTTGGGCTTATAAAAAGGTGTTTTGTAGAAGTTGTAAGTTCCCTTTTTAAAGAAGAGTGGCTTCTTGCTACATTTTTTATGAGACATTTTAACTTTAGCAATTAGTGATGGATGGAAAAGCTATCGAATGGATGAATATTTTCAGATCACACCTTCAAGCCGCACTTTGTCAACATAAATTGAAGGAGTTTAAATCTAAAGAGGAAGAAACTAAAAATAAAGCCATGCATTCTGAGGCATGGGATGCTGCATCAGAGGGAGGTACTTCCTATGATCTCCCCTTAGAGATTATGAATGTGTCAAGTCCATCTATAGACATAGAAAAGGTTGTCCTAGATAACGGGGTGACGTTGTAGCCACTTAAGATTTATTCATTGAGAAGAATTTCTTAAGATCTAAACAAATCAGTAGATGTCCCATCTTTTGAATTGTTCAAAGGACAGAAGGAAGAAGTCCCCATGGCTCTTGTTGAACCTGGTTAAGGCAGTGAGTACATCATGTTTCATGATCTTTGTGCTTTCTACACTTTTTTAACCTTTTGTATTTGGGTGAAGTGTGGGTTTATTTGTTGATCAATGGGTTGCTTTAGCAATTATATTTGGAGAGTCTTCCTTAGTTGATGATATCACTTCGGGGGGACTAAAGAGGGTGAGAATTTGGAACTATAGTTTTGCATTATTGAGGCTTCTTTCCTCACCGAATACAATCTCATATTACTTTTAGAAAAAAAAAATAAAAAGAGGAAATTAGAGGGCTCAAAATTGGGTAACACCAATGTTGAGCCCTTAGCAAAATAGGTTGTGTTGGTTGTCATTCAAACTTCAGAGGGGAGTGTTATTCTGGATCTCGACATGATACTTGCTCTTACTGAAGGTGCTCAGAAACCTAATGAATTGGACATAAGCACTTTTTTTGCATTAGAGGCAACCTATATCGTTGAGCAAGGCAGTCTGAAGAATCACTTGGCCATGTTGGAGGATGACTTGTCAGAGGTCAGGGAGAGCGTATCACCAACTTTAAGGCCATAGATGTGATGACTGACCTAAAATCATGTGAATGGATTTTTGAGCTAGAGGCCATGCTTACGGTAAATACCACTGACGTCATCAAAGGTTAGAGGTTTCAACGATATAATTAGTTGTGCTTTTAGCATCGTGTTGAACCAATTCAAATAGTCCATATAGCTTTTTTTTTCTAGTGGCTGATTTATTATTTGGCATCTTCTTCATTCATGAGTCATTTCATTGGATAACTTAAAAGATAATGGTTTACTCCTCTTTTATTCACAGATATTTAACCATCCGGGTTTGATGTTCTTCTTTGTCTCATCCTGCATCCACTTTTATACTTGTAGTTTTTATGAAATTCCATAATAAGAACTTGATAATTGTTAGGCGTGTTTTTTTTATAGTTCGTATTTTTTATGGGTGTTTTTTTGATGTAAAAGATATTTCATAATTCATTTTGAATATGCATTACTTGATATACTGGTTGTGGGTACCAAAGAGAACTGTTATAATTTAATACCTTTATGAAGAAAGAAAGTGGAGGCGTTTATGTGTTTCCCATTTTCTTGCTCAGCCATTTGTTTATTTACTTTCTTTTGATAGTTCCTTCAATGAACATGATAGTCGAATTGAAGAAAAGTGATACTTATTTTTTGACAGTAAGATTCTCAAAATGAGCCTACATGCATGAAAATATGTTGGTTGACGCACAATCAATGTAAGTATTCAATAATGCAACTACTTTAAGGCTGATGAGGAGGGATTAGGCTCCCAATGCCATTAACCAACATGAGTTATGTGTTTATCTTGATTAGTTTCATTCAAGTTTGAGGTTTCCTCTGTGCAAGGAGATGGATGATATGTTGAACTTCTTTTAACTTGTGTTGGCTCAAATCGGCCCTAACTTTGTTGCAAGTG